AAGTTTTATCTGGTTTGCTAATGTGTGGTTGAACTAAGGAAATATGAGGACATTTACTACCCCTCTAAAGGCAAGGACTATATTTGTTTGTTCCTATTTGTTTATGGCATGTAATAGCTTTAGATAACTCAGGCTACCAAGTTGCATATATAAAGCATCCTTTTTTCCTCATTCTTTTATTGTCTTCACCTAGTTAAGCTTTCCGAATTAGGGGTGGGATTTGTAACCGAGAACTGCAGTACCGAACCAGACCAAATAAATAACAGTGGGTTCGGTTCGGTTCTTCAATAAAATGTGTTCCTTTTGGAATATAAATTTATCCAAGAGCTGCATATATACACCATGTTCACATATTATATAAATAAATAACGATTTTTTGCAGTCGTTTCGATTTCTCAAAGCAGTAGTTCTTGTATCATAACCAATGTGTAGATAGTTTTTGTTCATTCTAGTTTCTCAAAGAACTAGTTTAACCAAACTGTTCGAGTATACTGGCTCCAGCTCTCAACTCTTCAAATTTTACATAAAAACCAGAACCATCGTAGACCTAGTCTGAATTGTGAGAACCATGCAATCTCCATATGCTTGTACCTTGATTAACCATATGCACATTGAAATCCTAATTGTGAGAACCATGCAATCTCCATATGCTTGTACCTTGATGAACCATATGCTCATTGAAATCCGAACCATGTAATCTCCATATGCTTGTATCTTGATTAACCACATTGAAATCCATACTTCAAACATCAGTATGTGCTCATAGAGAAGTTGAGAAAGATAATCATTGGATACATATAAATCCAATGCTAGTTTAGTTGAAATATTCCAAAATTTATTCATATGCATATAATAACATTGTGGATACAAATTCAGTATTTCTTAAAGTTGAAATACTCAAAAATTATTCAATGAAAGTGGCTGTTAAGTGTTAACATAGTTCACAAAAGATTATTTTCCCTGCACAATATTCCAATTGTTGCTGTTACTAATCTAATCTCGTTTACGAACTAGTTAGCCAGGATACATATATATTCTTCTAAAAGTAGGCACAACGAAGGATTTGATTTACCTCCTATATTTCCAGCTACTCGTGCCAGCATTTGTGAAGAATGCCATTGATAACACTATTGCGTACACATTTTTAACTATGATTCGACTTCTTCAATATGAAAGCTCGTTGTTTGTTCCTTCCACTCATCATTTTCCAGATACGTTTCATAAAATGATACTTCTCTATTTGTTTTCAAGACAAGTGCGGAAGTGCTTCTCGTTCCATATCGTCCCTGTAGTTTGCAAAAATACAACTTAGCCGTGTTTGACAGAATAAACGGGGTCAATAAACTTCTGTTCTTTATTAATTTTAGAGAAACTGGACATTACCATTGCTGTATTTGTTTCAACGAAAATGGCACTCAATTGGTACTCTAATACGGGAGGATAAATGCCAGGAAGCTCATTTTCATCGTCCTTGGTGGTGTCTTTCATTAGAATTTCAGTGATATCTTTCAGTGAAATATCAGAATTGAAGAATTTTTCAACTACATCCTCAAAACTGTGCCTCAACCGTACAGACTGCGGTGCAAGAGAAACAGAACAACAACAAGCATGTTACGGAGTTTTAAAAAATGC